AAAATACGAGGAGAACAATGTTAACCGAATTTTTTCGAATGAATGAAGCAAATGAGTTCGCTCGTACACTGTTATATCGAGATTTTCCTACACATTTTGTTTGAAATACAAATACAAAGATTTGGACTCCAAGAAAGAAACAAATTGTTATTGGACGAATTGTCACGGCCAATCCCTCTGAAGGAAAACGCTATTTCCTCCGTATTCTTTTGAATCACATTCGAGGGCCAACATCATTTCAAAGTTTATGAACTTTAAACGGGGTGATTGTTTCAACTTATCGGGAAGCTGCAATTCTACATGGTTTATTAAGTGGAGACAACCATTGTGAATAATGTTTATCCGAAACTATTATTTATGAAATGCCACTTTCGTTAAGGCGCCTTTTTGCTACACTTATTACGCTTTGTAATCCTGATAATCCAAAGTTGTTGTGGGATAAATTCAAAGTTTATATGATTGATGATTATGTACATACAAATATACCTATGCATGTTGCTGAAGTACGAGCTTTAGAGGAACTCAGTTTGCTTTTAGAATCATTGGGTAAAAATATAAACGACTATGGAATGGTGCCCTTCAATGTAAATATAGATGACAATGAAAGGTTGAGAAGAATGGTTGNATGAAAGGTTGAGAATAATGGTTGCAGAGGAGACAACAAATTTGGATATTCAAGGGAGCTATACTTGTGCAGCAACCTTAAATAACGAACAGCAGTTTGTGTATGATATAATTATGGAAAAAGTCAAATCGGAATCGAGTGGTGCTTTCTTCATCGATGGTCCAGGAGGAACATGTAAAACTTTTTTATATAAAGTACTCATAACTGGTGTAAGATCTCAAAATTTAATTGCTTTAGCAATTGCATCTTCCAGAGTATCTGCATCTTTGTTACCTGGAGGTAGAACAGCTCATTCGAGATTTAAAATTCCTTTAAAAACAATTGGTGAAGTTAGTTGCTCTGTTAGCAAACAATCGTCTTTGGGAACTTTATTGAAAATGTCCAGACTAATAATTTGGAATGAAGCACCCATGGTAAACCGTTCTACCATTGAAGCTGTAGATAAAATGCTCAGAGATGTTACTGATTGTAATTTGTCTTTCGGTGGTAAAGTGATTGTTCTCGGGGGAGATTTTCGACAAATTTTGTCGGTAGTACCTAAAGGAAAAAAAAGAAGACATAATGAGAGCTAGCTTAGTATTCTCTAACCTGTGGCCTTCGTATTTACATCTACCATTAGTTGAAAATATAAGGGCGAAGTTGGATCCTACATTTTGCGATTACTTGTTGAGAATTGGAAATGGGACAGAAGAAGAACATACTTGTAAATGCATTAAGCTTCCAAACGATATAA